AAATACCAACCGAATGCCGAAAATCTATCGGGCTAGTTTTAAGGCTAATTACTAAATGAATTACGTAACCAATTTGGCTCTAGAGGTAAGCATTAGGCACCATATCTTATTAACATTAATAATTACAAATAAATAAATTAATTTAAATAAATTAGAACCGCTGGGAGAAAAAAATTTTTTTTTCTCCCAGTGGTTAATAATTAATGTTAATAATGTTAAAATATTAATGTTAATAAGAGATGGTGCCTAACGCTTACCTCTAGAGCCAAATTGGTTACGTAATTCATTTAGTAATTAGCCTTAAAACTAGCCCGATAGATTTTCGGCATTCGGTTGGTATTAGTTACTATGTTAATTATTAATGAAATGTAATAATTTTACATGCATTTAAGATTAAATATTATATGAAAACTGATTATTTATGAAATAAATTTTATATATTTTAATTATAATTATAATTTCCGTTGCCAAGTAAGTTGATCATGTCTGTCCAGTGCATGAACATTCCTTTCCATGCATTTGAATGATGATGACATACCTTCACAACAGAATGGCAAAAAAGTGTTCAAGCAATCTGCCTATTCTTGTTATTGAAAAGAATTAGCCAAATCTCTTCATATGGAATTAACTGTGAAAAAATTTGATGCTCTTTACAACAACCAGTGTATCAATCTTGAATCTGTGCTAATATGGTATGCTGAACAACAAATTCATTCTTTGTAACATTAACAGGATAAATACTTTTAAACAGAAGAATCCATTTAGATCTCTAAATGTTATGAATTTATGTTTGAAAAATAAAATGTTTAACAAAATGGATTTTAGATTTGATGTTTAAAGACCACTCATTCTTAACTATGACAATAAGAAAATTTAAAATGCTTCAAATTATTTTTAATTGCATAGATCTTTCCTTCATCATCTGAAATTACTGTGCAATCAATTGTTCAGCAAATAATTACATATTATCACTAAACTTTTTTCATTTATATGTCTTACTGAGAATTGATTGTTAAAATTGTTGTAAGTCCATTAATATTTATAATCAAACATGACTTTTATTAATGAAATATTAATTTCTGCATAGACACTACAGTTCTTTCTAGTAATAAATTCACATAGTATTGAATTATTTGATTTCAATTTTACATGGTTAGAAAAAAAAAACAAAAATTGATTTTAAATGATCAGAAAGCAAATTCATGTTTATGCAGTATTTTAAAATATTCTTTAATACTGTATTAAGTTTTCAGTATTTTATTTTAAAATTAAGTGTTTTCATTGATAAAATTAATGTTTAAGCTTATCTAACAAATATGACATTGAAAATCATGTCATTGGTGCTTTCAATGTATATGTTCAAAGCATGATATAAGAATACAGGCAATACCACTATCTATTCAAGGATATTGGCAAAGTGGTTGCACTTACTCACACATCCACCAGATGTCGTGACAATGTAGAAGTCCAATTTTTACCATTGACTACCACTAGCAACAATTGCTAATTGAACTCTAATTTGTGTTAATTTGAATGAAATTTACATAAAATAATTTAAAAGTAATAGAATATGTGTATAATTTTTTTAAAATCTTCATTAAACTGATATCTATATTAGTGTTACCACCCGTCCGGTTTTCACCCAGACAGTCCAGGAATTGACTCACTGTCCAGGTAAACTATCAATTTTGTCCAGGAATTTCATGCTCAACCTGTTGATTTTTTTTTTTTTTTGCTTGTACGATTTATTCATATATATATACATACACTTCCAATATCCAATACAGCTAGGTCACTTGCGTTACTCTTATCCAAGTCTCCCTAGTCGCTAACTGTAACTGATTTAGAACCAGCATGCACTGCACATTATTCTTTGCCTTGCAAAATGACATACACATGTGTCAGAAACTTCTATTTGAACAAACCTCACCTGCCATCCGAGTCAGCGATTTTAATAAGGTGGCAACACTAGCACGGAATTTTTCATTACTTATTCTGTGACGAAACTGAATTTTAGTATTTTAAATTGAGATACCTAAATAAGGGAGGGGCGAAAGTTTCCTCCGTCCCGGGCGGCTGACACCCATGCTACGCCACTGCCTCAACAATGACATTAAAAACATTTTGGAAAGAAAAATTTGATATTCTTGAAGCTATATGGCTCATTCAAAAGGCATGGTCAGAAGTCACTCAATGACAGTTGAATTCTGTTTGGAAAAAGCTGTGTCCCTCCTGCATTCAGGGAGAGAGAGAGTGATGATGTCCCTCAAATTATTGATGAAATTGTGACAACTGCTAGAGATCTGGAATTGGAAGTGAATAAAGATGACATTGAAAAGCTCATAATGGAATCTGAAACTGATCTGATGACAGAAGAACTCCAAGAAACTCTGCAAGATGCATTTTCTTTTGAAGAAGTGGGAGGATGTCAGAACAACAGTCTTAGAATGACATCCAAATCAGGTTGAGGTTAATAGGCTTGGGTATCTCTACGACAATGCTATTAATTACTTCCAAAAATCCTGAAGAAGTGAGAAAAGCAATTGACATTGGACAGATTCTTTAACTCCTACAAATGGAAAAAACATGACTAATAAAAATGCAAGACTGTGCATATATGTATTTTTATTATTACATATAAATAAATATAGTAAGAAAGTATATATATTTTCATTTTTTGGAGTCTCCAGAACAAATTAAACAAATTCCCATAAAAACCTATGGTAAATCGATAATCGGATAACGAACACTCTTGGAACAGATTATGTTCGTTAACCGATCACCTTCTGTATATTGAAAAAACTATTTTTTGTGTTAATACATGATCTATTGAATTTGATTAGGTGTACACTGCATTAATTCTAAGGTGTTTTTTTAAAGCCATTTCAATATTGACATTTCTGATGGCCAAATGGTTGAGCTGTTAAAGATGTCAATCTACCGCTCTGGGATTCAGGAAACAAATCTGTCTTGGTCAGAATGCACTGGGAATTTTTTGGAAGGGTAGTCAGTTCATCCTTGATATGCCAGGCTTTGACCTTCATCTGGCTGTACCATTATGATTTTGGTCAAACCTACAATGGACTTAATAAAAAGGTCCTGTTAGTACCCACAGCATGGAAACAGACAAAAAATTATTTATTCATCATTAAATAGTTTTCTTATCAAAAAACTTTACTAAAATTATTCTTTTTATATAGTACTGTTGTTTAAAATTCTCATATATTGTTCTCAATTTTAAATAAACATCTCTAGTGCCTTGAGAAGAGAATTTATTGTTTTAAAAGAAGAATGCTAAAATCTTATTCACCCAATCAATAATAATTCATTAAGCCTGAAATTAGAATTTATTATAAAATTCTAATTTCAGTCCTAATGAATTATTATTGATTGATATTAGTATACAACATTAAGTTTGTTAGTTTTTCATTAAGTTCATTTTCTATATTTTTATTTACAGGAATTTATTCACAGTATCTTTAAAGTTATTGAGAAGCTTCAAACTGATGCAAAATGATGAAACTGATAACGAAGATGAAGGTGATGAGCAGAGAAAGAAAGAATTAGATTTTATAGTAAAAACTCAAGAATTAAGAAAATCTAAAAAGAAACCACCCCCAAGTTTAAAAGTAGCAAAGAAAACTGATGAACCACCCAGTGACTTTCGAGCTTTATCCATCACTCCAAATAGACGAGATTTAAAATATGATAAACCATTCATTCGTCCAAATCTTGTAAAAGGCAAATATGAAGATGTTGACCATTATCTTGACGTTCAGTTTCGTCTGTTTCGTGAAGATTATATTCACCCTCTTAGAGAAGGAATTAAAGATTACCATAAGGAGTTAAAAGAAATGAGCAATATTTATAGTCGTGAATTCAGGACTGTTTATGTTTATCAAAATATCAAAATTTTGAATCCTATCCTTGATGATGCTAATGGTTTACTTTTTACGATTGAGTTTCCATCCTTTCCTAGCACTTTTAACTGGGAGAACAGTAAGCGTCTTCAAGAAGGTTCACTCTTATGTTTATCAGTAGATAATTTTGAGGATAATTTTAGTTTTGCAACAGTCATAAATCGTGAGACAGCTAAAGTTTCCAAGGGGAATATACTAATTCAGTTTGAACAAGACACTGATTTTGTATATGAACATCCAACAGCAACATATACAATGCTAGAAACAAAGGGTGGATATTTTGAATCTTACAGACATACTTTGAAAATTTTGAAAGAATTAAATGAAGATAATTTTCCTCTGAAAGATTACATAACTGTCCATAAAAGGAAAGTTAACCCACCTTGTTATTTAGACAAAAAATCTATTTATAACTTTCGTATATTATTTGATGAAGATTCTCGTAAAAAATTAACTAAAGCTACAGATGATTTTGAAAAATCAGAATCTGATAATAAATCAATTGATTTGAAATGTTGGGGTTTAGAGAATGTCAATTTAAAAGAAATTCATAACATAGATAGTGGGTGGTTATCTGATGATGATGAACCATCAAAAGAAATTCATAACAGAGATAGTGGGTGGTTATCTGATGATGATGAACCATCAAAAGAAATTCATAACAGAGATAGTGGGTGGTTATCTGATGATGATGAACCATCAAAAGAAATTCATAACAGAGATAGTGGGTGGTTATCTGATGATGATGAACCATCAAAAGAAATTCATAACAGAGATAGTGGGTGGTTATCTGATGATGATGAATCATCATCACCATGTGATGAAAAAAATTTGAAATCAAAAGATTTTTCAATAGAAGAAGTTCCTATTTTAAAATATTCAAAATGGCCTACAAAAGAAGTCTTAAAATTAGATGAATCTCAGTATGAGGTATTAAAAGCAGCCCTAACCAAAGAATTTACTATTATACAAGGTCCTCCAGGTACAGGAAAAACATTTATAGGACTAAAAATAGTGAAATTACTGCTTTATAATAGAGAATTATGGTATCCTAAAGATGTCAAAGATGATGAAGAATGTCCAATTCTGATCGTTTGCTTCACAAATCATGCATTAGATCAGTTTCTTGAACGAATTTTACAATTCAACAAAAGGGTTGTGAGAATTGGAAGTCAAGGAGAGAGTAAGGAATTGGAAGAATATAATATAAGTAATTTGAGAATGAAAGAGGAGTACAATATTTGCAAATCTACAGATAAAAAGAGACTACAAATCAAAAGAATACAATTGAAAAATCAAGTACATATATGTTATATGATCATAGAAGCTGCTTCAAGAATTATCTTTCCTTTACCTGTTTTAAAAAAATATATGAGAGGTCATCAATATGAATATCTTAATAAAATGACTTGTAAAAGTGACAAAATAAGAAGTAATTTAGAAGAATGGCTTGACGTTCCTTATGATGATGAAATTAAAGATGCTTTCAATAGAGATGTTTTAGATACTGACTTTATTGGATTGGATGATGATATATGTTCTTGGCTTCCACCAGCGGCAATGACTGAAATTATATCTCATTCATCATGGAATGAGAGAAGATCAAATAAACACGAAGAATATATTATGGAAAATATGAAAAATGGTTACGAAAGAAATTTAGATGAACAAAACGGAAGAATAATGACTGAAGAAGAAGCAAGTGAATGTGTATTGGATGACAATTTACAAGTAAGCGATAGATGGAGACTTTATAGATTTTGGGTAGCAAAATTTATTAATTTTGTGAAAGAACAAATGAACAACTATCAGAATGCTTTCAATAGCACTGTAAAAACACTTAAACAATTTAATTTGGATAAGGATATAAATATTCTTAAACATAATTTGGTTGTCGGGATGACATGTACAGGTGCCGCTAAATTTCATCGATTAATCGAAGAGGTGGGGCCACAAATTATTATTATTGAAGAGGCTGCAGAAGTGTTAGAAACACATCTGATAACTTCGTTGACCAAATCTATGAAGCATTTAATAATGATCGGAGATCACCAACAGCTGCAACCACTACCAACAGTTCATGAACTGGGGGAGAAGTGTGAAATGAAAGTATCATTATTTGAAAGAATGGTTAGGAATGAAATTGAATGCTACACTCTGACTACTCAGCATAGAATGCGTCGGAATATAGCACAACTGCTTGTTCCACATATTTATGAAAAACTGAACAGTCACAGCTCTGTTGATGATTACGAAGATATAAAGGGATTAGATAAAAATATGTTTTTTATAAACCATAGTCATATGGATAAAGAAACTTCTGTTTCATCTTATTGTAATGACTATGAAGCAAGGTTTATAGCACAGTTATCAAGATATTTAATTTATCAGGAATATGAATCAGATCAAATTACGATTCTAGCTACATATTCTGGTCAAGTTAAACTTATACAGACTGAAATGGAAAAAGTTGCCAAAGAATGTGAAGAAAGTGCTAAAGATTACCTTCAAAAAATAAAAGTAACTTCAGTTGATAATTATCAAGGAGAGGAAAATGACATCATTCTCATCTCATTTGTAAGAAGCAATTATGAAAACAAGATAGGCTTTTTAAGTAGAGCAAATAGAGTATGTGTTGCTTTATCCAGGGCAAGAAAAGGGCTCTACTGCATTGGAAATTTTGATCTTTTAGAATCTGCCAGTGATCTTTGGAAAGCTATCGTCGAGGATTTAAAAGATCAAAGTTCTATTGATTCATCTATAAATTTAGTTTGTCAAAAACACAAACATACAACTAATGTACAATTGATTAGAGATTTCAAGAATGTTTCTAATGGAGGGTGTGAAGAAAAATGTAATGCTAAGTTGGAATGTGGTCACAACTGCAAGAGATGTTGCCATGTTTTTGACACAGCTCATAACTTATACAAATGTGATGAAAAATGTAATAAGAAATGTAAATTTGGTCATCCGTGTAAGAAAAAATGTCATGAAGAATGTGGAGATTGTAAGATTATTCGGATGGCAAAACTTCCCTGTGGTCATTGTTATCCAATACCATGCCATGTGGAAAAGCCCTCAGACTTTAAATGTCGAAAACCATGTGAGAAAATGTTGAAATGTGGTCACGCGTGTGATAAAAAGTGCAGTGACGAATGTGAGCCCTGTACACGAATGGTGCCAAAAACTTTTCCCGATTGCAAACATACTATCAGATTGAAATGTTACATGAAGTTAGAAGGAATCAAATGTTCAGAACCTTGTCCACATTTTCTGCCTTGTGGGCATCCCTGTGCAAAATCTTGTGGTGATCGCCCTTGTCCAGAAAAATGTGAACGTATGATCATTCTACATTTACCATGCAATCATGTTAAGGAACAAAAGTGTTCAGAAGAAAAAGATTATTCTTGTTTTGCTCCCTGCTGTGCCAAGTTATCTTGTGGCCATTCCTGTACCGGAAATTGCACAATGTGTAGAAATTCACATAAAAGGTGTGTAGCTAAATGTGGAAAGCGACTACATAACGGAATGACGTGCAAACTTTCATGTCAGCATAACGGACCATGCAATTCAGATTTCATTCCTAAATTTAGAAAGGGTGGCGGTAAAAGCGGTGATAAACATGACTCGGGACCACATAGAGATAGACACAAAGTTAATAAATGGAAAACGGACTACGAATATGAATAGTGATTAAGTGTTTCTTACAAAATCTGCATAGAAAGTAATTTAATGCAATTACAGTATAATACATTGATATTTAAAGTTCAATTGTTTGTTCTATAGTTAAATTTGTTTTAAAAAATGCTGTTGTTCAGAGATAAACCAATAAATTTTAAGTCAAAATTATTAATGGATCATTGTTAGAAAACTTTTATCATCTTACTAATTCAAGAAATTAGGCATTAAATCCTTAAATTCAATTTTATGATTTAAACATTGAATAAATATTAAGTTAAAGGATTTCTATAAATCTTGAACTTTTCTTTGGACTGGAAAAATGACATAAAAAAGTAAGAAAGGAAAAATTATTTAAAAAATTCTATCGTACAGTACAAGTGTGAATGAATCAAAAATATAATTAGAACTAGCAACAAAGCAAGCAGCTGCTTGGAGCAACATTTTGCAAAAAATAACAGTAAAATAAAATGAGCCTAACAGGTTAATATCCATGGATGGGTTAAAGATTAAACAAAATTGTGTATGAGGGGCATTGATGCTATTAAATTTTTATGGTTAAAGGTCAAGGGGTGAGGCTATAGTGGGGTCACGTGTTATATCTTGAAAGAGGTTGGACTTAATGAAGATTTTACTCTGTAATATATTCTGAAACTGTCTTCCTTTATTTGAATAATTTGTTATCAAGGTTATTAGGTGCTTATACAGGCACTTGGCAATTCTGTCAACTTTTATTCAGGAATTTTTTTATTTGCCGAGACACATTTTGGGCTCAAGCCCCTCTTCTGTCATTACATAAAAAAATAGATATAAGTTTCTTATATCACACAGTATTCTATATTATTACAGTTAGAAACATACCATTACTTCCCGGGATATATCGTAGCATGACAATTGAAGATGCATCATATTTTAATTCACTGTTAAATACATTTCATTATTAAATATTTTTACATTTAAAATTATCCCACAAAGAAATATTGGCAAGATTCTAGGACAGAATGACAAGATTTTCGCATCCCCAAAGGATCATGTCTGTATGGACAACCGTTTGCGAGATATAGCCCTCCAAAGAAGCACCTACGTCATTTCTGGTCACATGACTTCGTGCCCAAAAGGGACTGCGTCACGCAACTAAAATTTTTTTTCGCTTTTTCCACATCTCAGTGTTTAAAAAAAAAAACACGCTCCTCTTTCTTAGCCCCAACGCGTGCCAATTCTCACAGACTTGAAATTTCATCAGAGATCTTCGTTCCACTATTGAAAGTATTCCCTTGCACCTTCCGTTTTATAATCCACTATGATCGTTTTCCACTTCCTCTCGCTCAGCTATTTGGCTTCCATGCTTGAACCACACACCAACTCCTAGAAGAACCCACTTCCCATCAACCCCTTTACTTCCCTTTTTCCCCCAGGGTTTAACAACCATGCCAGTCATTCCATCATGACCGGGGGAAACACATTAGGGTTAAGACACACATTTCCTCCTTTTATTGGCCAATTTTGTTGCATAAACTAGTGGCTTTCCATTGCAGAACCTTCATTTTCGTTTGGGGTGTGTTTGCACTTGTGACGTCTGGTTAGTGTGTTTTTCCAGGTTTCGTAGTCTGTTTTAGCTTTTCTGTTATAGTGTTGGTGCCTTCCATTGCTGTATCACTCAAGCGATCATGTTTTTTGCATTTAGTGGTCACTTTTCCCTTGGGTCGTGTATTTGTGCCATTGTGTTCATGGTTTGAGTGTCGTGCGGAGTTGCGTGTTTACTGTTGCCCGTCATAGGAATTGAGGGGGTGTTTCAGATCCCGTGGTGAGGTGATTTGGTTGGTATGTCATTAACACGAGTTACATCCAGGAGAATTGGGATATGCTTTTTCAGCGCTTAGTCTATATAGATTTTTCTGGTTTGGTCATAGTTATGTAGTAATATTAGTATGTATCTTGAAGAATGTCTGTTTCAGATATTGATAAAGTAGTTTTCTGGTAATGGAGGTATCCGGAGATGCCGACGAGTACATGTTGGGTTAGTGAGGGATGCTGTTTGTGTGGTTATCCACTAAATAATGTCGTAAGACTTGGATTGTTCGTAATACAGCCAGTATTTTGGGTGTTTCGGTAGAGCTAAACTCCATCTCCTGCAGAGACACATGTACTGCATTTAGTCCCTCCTCGGAGGTAGTAGAGAATGTGTCTATTTATGCATTTCAGTAAAAGTTCGTCTTTGCAGGGAAGGACCAAGTTCTCTCGGGACACATATCGCCGCAGTTACACGTAGACACTGGATTACCTGTCCCTCAAATTGTCTTCTACCTTATTCAAACAGAGAAGTAAACTCACATTCTGGAAAAGTACACTAAGCCTAGAAAACTATACCAATTAATTAATCACTGCAGGATAAGTAATAGCCTTCATCACAGGTTCACCAAAAATATCCTCCCATAGAAAAAGCATTAAATTTTTAATGCCATCTGCAGATGATCACGCACAAAACCAAAGGTTACAATTAGCCTTAAATAAGTGTTATCTATACTTTGAAAATATCTTAGAAAATTGTTATTTTTAACATTTTATTTATTCAAATATAAATAAAAAAAATATGTATGTGCCTACTATTTAAATATATTTTAGGCAATATTTCATTTATAAAATAGTATATTATGATTTAATTTTAACAACAGCTGTATAAAGATTCATATGATTATTTAAAAAAAAAAATAATACATTTCATATAATAAAATGAATATAAATTAATACTCCATGAAAAAAAAGTATAAAATATTTCTTGTTAATATAAATCTAACATAGCAAACAATAGATAGAGTGACCCTTGTAACTGTATTCAGGAAATCTAATTATTAAGTAACTGCAAAAATGCTATGGAACACCTATTTACAGGGTAAAGGTATAGCCTATTTGTCTAAGTTCCCCTTGACGTCAGTGAACTTGTACCAATGCACGAATGCCAAAAGTACGAAAGGCTTTTGGCTGACTGCTAAGCACTCATGCACCATACACTGAACTCTTCGTCAGAGTAGAAATGGTGGCCTTGCAGAGTTATTTTTCTGTGTTCCAGAGATAGAAGTTACATGATCAGGGGCAAATCTGCCTGTTGCAAAATTCACAATTTGAGAAAATTATATTCATCTGGCAATTGGAGTGGCGAATAGCTAAGGAGCAGATCCCATAAAGAAAAAAAAAAGTCGCTCGTTGAAAAAGAGTATCACAGAACATGAATCGGTCTTGTTAATTTTACTGTTAATAAACAAAAATAAAGTTACTTGAGAAACTCAGTCATAAATCTGCTTTGTTTTATATTGTCAGTTGTCTTTTCATTTCTGGTTGGCACAAAAAGTTATAGAAAACAAAATAGGAACTGGGCAAATAAAAAATGTGTTTGACAAATGGGTTGGGACGAAAAGCCAGAGTGATGACAAGTTGAGAGTACAAAGGATATGGAAGGACCTCAAACCAAATACAGAGGTAAGGCAAAATATTTTGAGCATCAATGAAATATCACTTTTTGTTTATTAATAAGGAGTTTTGCAGATAATACAACTGAAATATGTTGAGGAAGAGACAAATATAAATCAGGAATGACATCTTAATGCTGGGCTCCCAATTTTTTAATCTTTATTTAATTGAAAATATATACTCTCAATCTCAAATTAGTAGTGGCTTGCCCCTGTACATCATACTTTTCCTTTAGATGATCGTCACAACTCAACTGCTATCTAACTCCTTTCAGGGGAAATTTTTGAATTGAAATAACATGGCTTCCAGTTTTCGTCGGAAGTTTGCATATAGTTAATCGTTAATGGGGACTTCCTGCCCTTACGCTTTCCAATTATGTTCTCGACATTCATCTAACTCCATTCTCGAGATTGAGGAAAGACATATAGTAGGAATTTATAGGTCTACAATTTTTTCAAGTTGCAGCCTAACATTAATATTAATTTCACCATTCTTCAACCAATACTGATGATAATTCCTTGGTAGATGTAGCATGTGGAAATCTGCTTCTAAACTGTTTCTCAAGAATGCCTCAACAATATTTGAGTCTGGTGATTGGGGTGGACAGGATAACTTCAGTTTCATGCTCCTTGAACCAAGATTGAACATACCCAGCAGTGTGAATAGGAGCATTGTCACTGAAAGATAGTATTACCTTCTGGAAACTAAATGATCATGGAATGGAGTTAGTCACTCAGAATATGCAGATATCTCTTGGCTGTTACTCATCCTTTGAGGATGACTGTTAGACCCAATGAGTTGAGTGATATTGTACTGAAATCATACAGTAACCTCTGCCATTCTTGACAGTTGGTTTAATTCAATCAGTTTTAAGTATTTTTTATGTTTAATTACATTAATATCAAAAATTGCTGGGAACTAAAGCGATTAAGGCAGTCAACATTGTAAGCTTCATCCCATGATCAGAAGTGGAAAACAGTAAAAATTGACTCAACCAACCATATGTTTTCATGTTTTGTACTTTTTGCACCACTGCACACAGCTGTTTGATGTTTTGTGATGTCAACAAAGGTTTGGCTATTGCAACACTAACATTAACTTTATGTAGTGTACAGATGATTTTCACTGATACTGGTACCCTTGCAAAATTCTACAGTAATTTACACTACCATAGTTTTATGTTTTCTCATTACAATTCGACAGTATTCTATCTGCTTTAACTTTGACTTTTGACCATAGCTGCTTCTGTTGGCAGATGTTTTTGCCTGTCTTCACATACTGAGACGTGATCGAGGGAACAGTAGATCTTGTTACATCAACTCAGCAACTTGGGTCACAGAAGCTCCTACAAGTATGCACAAACAATCATTTCACAAAAACAGGTAAGTAGATTTTTTAACAGCAAAAGTAACAGTTTCTTGACAAAGATATAAGCTTGGCATATGAGAAAAAAATAGGGTAGTACCTTTGATGGCACATTTTTCAGGAATAGTTCAATTTGACTATAAAACAGAGCTGTTCAAAGTAGTTTCTCCAATCCCTGTATCTTGAAGCAACAACCCAGTGGCATTGTGATAGCTCAGCTTGCAGTGAATGGTTTTGTATGCTGATCTGTAACTTTTGTAGTTCTAAAGTCACCTCATCTACAGTTACATGTCAAATTTCCTGTATTATATTATCAATAGCTTCAACAGTATTACGGTTCACAACACTAAATGCTCATCCTGATCAGAAAGCATTTTCCATGGAAATGACACCATTACTGAATTATTCAATTCATCTGTACACATCTCTGTGACAAACTGTTAACCATATAGACTAAGAACATTAAATAAAGAATACCAATAGGTTTCAAGCCTTCTGTCTGTAAAAATCTCACCACAGCACAACTCAATATTTGTGCAACACTCATATGAGAGAGTCATTTTGAACACTCATTAGCATACAGCTAAATCATCTGGTTTCATTTGCATATAATAACACTTTTATGGTTACTTAATAACTGCACCTTGAATATACAGTCAAATCTCAATATGGCACTCCCTTATAAAGTGCCAATAATATCCAATCTTCTACATAAAAATTAGAGAACCATTCAGCATCTGTGAATTATGAAATGTATTTATTTGTTATATATGAAATTTTATATTTAAAACACCCTTAGCAACAAATCACTTTCAAACTTGTAGGAATTTCAGGATGATATAACGATTCTTAGAAAAGTTCTTCATCAGTAGCCTTAAAATGATCATCATCTATAGTATTGTATATATGACCTTCATTGCACAGGAATTCTACTGTCTCTCTGAAAACAGATTATTAATGAAAATAGTAATTAATGAAAAATTAAATCAAATATAATTACATAAACTTACAAGATGATATGTTTATTCATAGTATTCAGCTGAGAAAATAAATAATCATAACTGGCACCAGTAGGAGTTTTATTAGAACATATACATTGAAGAACCTGTAAATGTAAAAATTTAAATAAGATTTATGTAAAAATTTCAGTATAAAATCATTAAGTTTTCAAACAACATATATTTATTGTTTTATATGGTTAAAAAAATGCATATATATATGTAATATTTACTTTCTATTCTATCAAGTTAATGTTTCTTATATTTCGCATGTTCCAGTACATCTCCATAGCCTGCTGCAGGGGCTAGCAAACATTGAAATATGTAATATCATATTCTTTTCACACTTGAAACAGAAGTATTACTGACAATGCCACCTCATGGTCACAATCAACACATGCAAAATGGCTGTATCCAGTGACGACAATCTAGATATCATGCTTTATCAAACTACTTTATTTATGTCGTTTTTATAATTAAGATAAATACTGTTTTGTAATTGAAATGCCATGCTTTTGTCAACTTTAAACTGAAGAATGTTGCTGTCAGCCTGAATATGCATCAATCAAGGTTGTTGCCATTTTGTTTAACTGAAGTGGCAACAGACCTACATGCATTGGTGATTATTTATTAACACCCAAAAAGAACACAAGTGTTTCTAACATTGCAACAATGTTAGTATATTGGAACATACAAATTATATTATAGTAGCCAAAGCACCTTTCGTCATACAGAGAACAGTAATGAAGATACTATAATTAAATAAAATTTTGTTATGGCTGGATAACGGTATTTAATATACAATACATATAAATGGTTACAACCCTACTTGAAGATGGTGTTTCATAGAATTTACTTATATATAACCAAAGCCAAATCATTAGATATAACCCAAACTTAAAAAATAATTCAACACTTTAGACTTTATTACTATTATACTGAGTATTAGCAAATGTTCAAGTTCTGTTCTAGGTTGATCTTTCTTTTCAGTTTTCTAAACTATTTAAATTCAAACTTAATTCCTAATTGTTAATGTTTACACAAAAATGTGGCAGAACTTTCTTTCTTTAGGACAAATTTAGATATTTAATTAAATAAAACTTACATTTCAATATAGCCTTAAAAATAATCCAGCGATTTGGTGTTAAGTTTGGTTCAAGTCAATACATAAACAAAAGGTAAGCTCATTAGAATACAACCAGCCAAACATAGAATTAAGTGATGAGATGAATTAATTCACATACTGTTTTTAGCATATTTAAGATGATAATCAGTTTGCTTCATTTTCATAAAAGTAAACTTATTAAGGAATGAGATTTAGTTCTTATTTAGGAAGAAATAAAATAACATAAAAGACATAAATTTATCTTATGTCAGGATTCAACTAACTCTAATATCCAGTATGGAAAATCACGTGAGTGTACAATGGTCCACGAAAGGCAGTATATGAATAAATAATAACAATTATTTTTTTTTTTCACGTGAATCGTAATATACAGGATTTTTTTTGGATTTCAACTCTGAGCATTACAGAATATCCAAAATAGGAGCAATGAATAGAGTAAATAGAAATCAAGGAAATCCACTCGCGACAATTAAGGAAAGACTGACTTGTAATCTTATAACTAATACACTAAATTATAAACTAAAAGAGGAAAGGAAGATTAACAAAAAATTTTAGTATGATAGAAGAAGAGATTATAAAGAATATCTGGGCTTTCTGGTTGGTATTGATGCTCTTCTGGTGGAAACCACTATAATTCATTTCCTGATGATCTTTAATCGGATCTCTTCAATGATCTTCTTTATACAAGGGACGTTCGTCTCTCTCTCTCTCTCTCTTTATGTTAACAGGATCTTTTCTCCTTTGTAGGCAACCTTCGTCTCTCTTTGTCCTTCTAGAATATGGGCAGGAGCGTAACTTTCACACGTCTGCCTTCACCGAGAGCCTGACCCAAGAATGACCCTCCTTATCTATTATAGTAGCCTCAGGGTTTTCCTTTTCCATTGTCAATGTGGTTCTTAGAAAGTGTTACCTCAACCACAGGAAGGAATATTAGTCAAAAACTTGAGAAAACAAAGGGGAAGAAAGAAAACTTATATCTAAAATATAAATAAAATAAAACTAAACTTACATCTAAAATATATACAGTAATATGGTGTATCGCCATACCAGAAACAGTATAAACATGCCAAAGTTCATCAAATATATTTAATTTACTATACAATTAATTTTAGCCTCTAATTGTATAAAACAGAACTTATGTAAAATAAAAATAAAAATTATCAAATATATAAATAAAATTTGAACCTATTTTTTTTAAGCTAAACTCATTCCTCATAAAATTTAAAATTCAAATTAAAAATATTATTAAAGAAAATGAAATAAAATTATTAAGAAAATATTAAAGAAAAGCATGCAGAAACATAGCAGACATCATCATTACAAGAAGAAACAATTTTAGATTAGTTCATCCTTGTATCAAAAACTTAACATATTAATGAAACTATGTAATTTGAAAAAGTAGGTTTTGTTTTCATTAAAAAATTTACTTATGTATTTCTTTATATTATACAAAAATACATAATGAAATGTTACTTAATGTAACTCTGAAACAAAAATGAATGAATAACGAAAATATAAATCGCATGTCTTAATAGAAATCAGTTTTCAATATAAAACAAAATACAGTAGAAAAATTTCAATCTTTATTTGCTTGTATAATTTTGATAAAATAGAATTATTATAAAAAGAACTTACTTTCAGTTGTGGTTTGGATAAACCTAAGACATTTTCATTAATACTGGTATTTTGCATACTTTTNATATATTAATAAAAAGTTATTCAATAATTTATCTATATTCTAATGTTTAGTGTATTTTATTATTAAAATGATTTTAAAAAAATTACCAAAATAACACTGAAAGAATATAAACTTAGAAAATTTATAAAACTTTTAAATTTTCACTTACCAAAGATTCATTTACTCTCTGATTCATAGCAACATGAATAATTTCCAACAGATGCATTGAAATTTCATTTGCATCCTTTATGGGTAGCAATTTTAATGCATGGATGAAACGTTCTCCTTGAATGAAACGAAGTTTTCCAATTATTCTTGAATAGGAAAAACTGGAGGGCAATCTTAAAATGTCTGGAATATTCTAAAAATATATATTATATAAATTCTTTAGTTTTATAACTAACTGTATTGTAAAAGTTCAATTCATATTATAAATATTTGAAAGTCGTATACTTTATTTTCATTAACCCACCTATTAACCTATTATACATTTGCTTACATAATCTACAAAAGCATTTGAATCTGATTTTTCTATAATAAGAAAATAAAATTTGAATTATATTTACATCTTCATGATTTGTTTTGAATAATTCAGATTGATATTTCATTCATGATTTCTTTATCTATTTTACTAATTCTACAGCAGTGAACACTTTCAAACTTTGCAAAACTAATGATGATAATATACACTGATATTCCTATTATACAGGGTGAGTCAAAATTATGTGAACACTATTTGAGAGAAAGCATTTACTCAAAGTTTGTGTTATACAGAGTCTCAACCTGACCACCAGCATTATTCATGCACTCAAACCAACGTTCAACAGTACAATTTAGTGCCAGAACACCGAAGATTGGGGAGGCCATAACAACGGTCCGTCGCGATCAATCGGAATAGAAAACAAAACAAAATTAAGATGTTTCATTAATAATGTTTAATTATAAATTAAGATTATTCACATAATTTTGACTCATCCTGTATATATACAGGGTGACTCATTTTTTATGAAAAAATTTCAGGGCTGATTCTAATTTTATGAAATAATTTTAAACCAATATAAATATAAACATATGTTTGAAATAGCATAGTTTTAAAGTTATAGATGTTTAATATGTTCACAACACCTAAGCCCATTGTGAGCGTGATTGAACTCATAACGAGAATAAAATAAAGACAGTCTTGATTAAAAGACAAGTATAATACTGTCCTCCACATCTTTTTATATTTACATATACCTATTAATGCAATTAGAAATTAATAAAATTTAAATAGTCTATCGTATCATTACAATAATTTATGAAATAAAAGTTTATTAGTAAATTTAGTTAATAAATTTTTAATTATAAATATGTTATAACATCTATTGAATAATTTTTATAATGAATGGAATTTATGATTATTTATTAGTTTTTATTTTATCACATTATGTAGCACTTACCTCATTTAAATTCAACCATAACTTCACATTAATTGGAGGTCCAGACATGTCATCTAATTTGAAAGAAATCTGAGTTGTTGATTTTTGAACAAAATGAACTTTTCCTACTACAGTTATCTAAAATGAGTTAAATGAAATTTTTATGTCAATTTAAAACAACATTAAATTAGATTGACCAAATGAACATAAACCGTTTAAAATAATTTATTTACATTTCTAAAATATTAAATAATTTTTTGTAAATAATCTGATATATTTATTTAAATATGGTATATACAAATTAAAAGGATTCTGAAGTATTATAATAAAATTAAATTTAAATTGCTCTTCTCATAGTTTTAGAAAAACTTAAGTGTTTTTGTCTAATTGACTCATAGCGATAAGCATAAAAGTTCAGGCTTCTATAAGATTTTTACTGTAAGAAAAGCAATTTGAATTGGGTTTTACATTTGAAAGATTTTAATAATAAGTGTAGTAACAAATGTTGCTATATCTAAGATAAACTGCGTATCTGCTCTTATTATTCTTAGTTATAATTACTGAATATTTTAGCATCGACAAATACTATATATCAAAATTAGAATTCTAGAAATGATGAAAAAAAAAAAAATACACCAGAAATTATAAACATTACAAATTATAAAATATGTTTAAAGAAGTAACTACATTATTAATATGGTACATTTATCATCATAGCCAATTCAAAATAATTAATGATGGTTTATAATACAGAATTGTTTTCTTAAGTAAAACTTCTGTAATTGGGATATCTGGGGTGTCTGAATGCAGGAAACGATTTTTTACAGCAACTAACACAACTTTAATGCTATGCTGTATATAGCGTAATCTTGTTTTACGAATAGTGACATCATATGTATTATATGGTCCAGTCTATGCTTCATTTGAAGAAATTACATGCATGTATATAATTATATATATATATGTACTATTTTATTTCATATTTTAACATATAATATTTTCAAAATTCATAGAAATTTCAAGAAAAAATTCTATATGCTATAAAACAAAATACATAATAAAAAAAAAAAGTCAAATATACTTACAATATTAGCTACAATGCTTCCTATCTTTACACATTCTTCTTCTTCAGTAACTTTTAAGAGCTGTGCAACTGTACATGGCACAATGTTTTGTAAAAATTCTTGCTAAAATACAGAAAAATTAACATCATATCTACAATACTGTTATAATTAGGCATAATAATTTTTAAGCTATAATTCTTGGAATAATAATAATTTCTGTATGTTTTCACATAATAAATAAAATTATTTTCATGGTCTTTTTCCATTTGCCAATGGATATGAGGGCCTAAAAATAAATTTACATATTAAAGCCAAATAATTGCTGGATTATATCAAGTTATATTAGTACTACTAACTTATTATTAATTAATTGCTCAGACATTAGACACCTTCTCATGCTAAATTTAATAGTTGACTTAGTAATAGTAATATAGCTCAATATAACCTGGAAATCATTTGACTTTAATATATCAATATAACCATTGAGTTTGGATGTTTTTATTTATATGCATATTTACACATCATTTATTAAATGCACAACAGCACAATGCCTAAATTAGATGAAGCAAAAGTAAAAATAATAAATAAAAAAACTCCAAAAAAAACCTCTTTAAAGGCAAAGCAAGTGATGGAAATTGAAAGCATCATATTTAGTGAAGTGCTCTAAAATAAAATTTAATGCACATATAAGAATTTTTATAAACAAAATGTTACAGACTTAAAATTAGCATTAATATGTGGATTTAAATTATTCTTATTAAATTATTTTAAATATATTTAAATTACCTTTCCGTGTTTAGCAGGTGAAGGAGTACCTTGTTTTCCAGGAGAGTAGAAAAAACCACCAGAATTTTTGCTGTGACTTGGACTTTGTGAATCAAACTGTGAATATGCTATAAAAATACAATCATTCAAATTTAATTTTATTTGTATTTTATTGCTTAAAAGTTAAATTTGTCGTATTTAGATAATTCTACAGTATAAAATCCTATAGAGTTAAATAAAGAAACATCTACACTCTCGGAATCTGCAAATCTTTACAACATTGAACTCTAAATAGATAGAAATATAGCTTGTTATAGTATAACAATATTGGTGTCTTTGTAATGGGAAAATAGTTAATTACATCTATAATTTTATGCATCACATTTGTCATCTGATTGACAATTTTTAATCATACAAAATATATTAAATTTCATATACAGTTTACTTATCTATCTCAAATCTCATGGGAACAAAAAAATTCCAGATACAGGTTTTCAGATATGGAGGTTCCTACACAGTAAACAGTAAAACTAATATATTTGATTGGAGGCACAGTATTTTATTAATACAACAGCAGGTACAATAACTGACTTTCTTCAACTAACAAGATGCAAGCAAACTGTAGCCTCAGCCCACCAGTGGTTAAGTGGATAAAACCACTGTTTTATCCACTTAACAACAAAAAAGTGGATAAAACCACTGTTTTATCCACTTAACCACTTGCCAACAGGCAAGTGGTTAAGTGGCCTTCACGCCTTGCCAACAGGCTGGACAAGTAGAGTTTTCTTCATGTTCTTCACGTTTGTTTGTTTGTTAAGTTATGGCAACGCAACACTTGTGTAATCTGCCTAGGGGTGTCTTCCAGGAGATCTTTTTTAAGGGTAACTGATCCCTATTCAGGCATTATCGACATGGAGAAAACACAGAAAACTCAACGTGGCCAGCCCGTCCTGGCGAGGCACTAACCCACGACTGAACTCCCAGTGTTTAGGAAACGGAATTCCTTGGCCACTGATGGATTCTTCACGTTTGTAACAACTAAATTAGGGCCTCCAGGAAGGCATCCCTCCGGCAGAGTGCCCATATGTTGCAATGCCGTAAACAAATAAACCAAACTAAACTAGTAGCCAGTCAGAGAAAAGCAGCATTAATTGCAACTATTACTGTATTGCAAGAGATGTTTCTCGATTACAATTTATAGCACCATAATGTAGTAGCTGGATTTAAATTTGTAATTATGTCAATTTAATTCACAAGTTTAATTCACAGATAGACGGATTCAACTGTATTAAGAAAATGCTGATAAAATTTCAAAAACACCAATCTTAACAATTTTGATTTAAAAAGTAAAGATGACTCCGGATTCGATTTCCGTTCCCGCTTGTTGATATAAAAAAAACTTCAAATATAGAAAATACTGTATTTGTTTTATATAAAGCATATAATTTTGTGTTTAAAAATTAGAGAAATAAGGGAAATGCATTAATTTCTATATTTAAAATCAATCAAAACACAACAAATTATTATTTGATATTATTAACTCGATAATACCAGTTCACGACGAGTTTTATCTGATTGGAAATAAAAATTCTAATCTATTGTCGAAAATCATTTATTAATTAATTTAACAACTGTAATTAAAAGAAATAAAAATTAATCAATTTTCTAAAATAAGTCCAAATTAATATTACTCATTTTCGAATTACGTTCCAATAGGTTAAAATTCCTTCAGGGGGCGTATTCAGACAACTCGTCATCAAAACAATTACTAACTCTACAATTGTTATATTATTCACTAATAATTTACTTATATATATAAAAAGTCTAATTTTTAATAAATAAATTTAATTTTAAAATTAAAATCAGCTTTAATTTCACGAAATAATCGAATTAAGCTTAATAAATTAACATCGAAACTGTATTGACGTAACTATTTTATTAAACAATTATGCTTGTATATTATCATTTTTAAAATTCTTTATAACAAGAAAATAGTAATAAATTTACTCAATTTACCTGGAAAATCAGACATTGCGGTATTTATAAATTTCCTACGTGACGTAATATAATCTCACTAGCACCTCCCGCGGTGAAAAATTGCAAGGAAAAACTGACGTCATCTCATTTATGGGTCAGCTGATTGGAAGTATTTAAAATAGAAAAACTTGTTTTTATTATTTAAATTTTTATTTAAAACTTTTACATTTTAACGAAATGGAGAATAGTCTGTACGAAATAGGTCTAAAGCAAAATTGCGTTTTCTGCACAATAGCAGTCGGTCTTGATCCAAATACAACTTTATTATATCAGGTAAGTATATATATATTTTTTAAATAATTATTTAAATTATATATTTATAATTTTTTTCCATTTAAAACGCTTCTTAAATCTATTTTAAAAGTGCGAAAACTGTTTTATTTTTTAATATATATTTATTTAATATTTTTTGCATAGAACAATTAAAACAATTGTTTTTTTTAATATATTGTATTAACCTGCGGTTCTGAAGGATCCGGGTTCGAATACAGCTTAGAACCTCGGAAATTTTCGGTGTGTGGTTCGATTAACTTTTGTCAATTTCTCTTTCTCACCAACCAAATACCCGCGTTGTGGCCTGACCGTAAACCGAGTCTACGCCGGCTGGATAACCCAATGAAGGGCTTGAAAAAAAGGGCCACTCTTAGTGTTATTACAGTGCAAATATTTAAAAAACGCTTGTCAAAATTGAAAAACTTATTATATTATTTTGTTTTCACTTTTAACTCTGCTATCTGGGTACTAAGAGGGCCTTTTTAATCATATCCATAGCGGATTTGGCCAGTTACGCAATGGAGACTGCCAGGTAGTGAGGGACGACCACTCCGAAAAATTCCTGGGTTTTCGACCCACTAGAATTTGTTTCCGAGTTCCTTAGATCGACAGGACAACACCTTAGCCGCCTAGGCCAGTGTTTTTCAATCTTTATCTTATAGTGGCACTCCAAATTGGTAAATTTTCCTTGCAGCATTCTCTACTTATTTATCAACTAGAGTTATTGTGCTCTTTGTATTTTTAATATTATACATAAGAAGTATTACGATGGTACTCAGCAATATTTCGTGGCACTTTAGAAGTATCATTGCGGCACCCCGGTTGAAAATCACGGGCCTTGGCCATCAGGCGGCATTTAAACTTATAAACATAACAAGTAGAATTTTAAATATAACAATTTTTCCATTAACTAAAACTACTGTATTTCATTTGTTCCCATATTTATTGAAATTAAAGAATTCTTGTAATAACGCATCAATTTACTGCTCTGAATCTCTTTTATAAATTTTATAGTAGGCCTACACATATATGACATAGTTTACCAAATATTTCTAGGCCTATTTGTATTTTTAAAATCTAGAATTAAACATCAATATGATTTTTATTCTATGCAAACAGTGACGGATCAACACTTAACTGGGCTCGAGACAAAATTGTAATCCGAGTGTTCTGTGTTTTTCAATCTTTTTCTCATTGCGGACCGGTAAAATTATGGACCAAACTGGTGAACCAAGTGTACCTATGGGTTCATCAGTTTGTAGAGAATTTAGCAGAAATAGTAATAAAATCAGTTGAAGACAAGGATGTATCTAAATATAAACTTTGACTTTAAACATTACTAATTAGATTAGTCACTAAACTAAACTTTGTTCAAATAGAAGTATGTTCAAAGTTTAGTTACTAAACTAAACTTTGAATCAGTACTAAATCAGTGACTAAACTTTGAATCAGTATCTAAATATAAATAATATTAAATTAATTTTCTAGTGTTAGTATGACCTGTTCATAATAAGAACTACAAAGGATTGTATTAACTACTTCATAGAAGAAATTAATTCGAATGATTCAGAATCTATCTACAGTTACACAAAGTTAGTTTGACTGCCATTAATTATTTATATTTATTCATAAAACTGATAATTAATATCGTACCAAAGTATTTTGCAAACCAACAACAGTAAATACATTTGAAATCTTTTATGCTGCACAAATTTGCATCTTTTCATGCATTAATCAAAAGAGCTCTCATACATTCGTTCTCTATACAACATCGGGATGCAGAATTAACAGAATTAATCACGGTTTTCCAGTGTTAATAAGGGTTTAATTAATTTTCATTTGACAAAAAACTCAATAAAACTATACGACTAAATGATAATGCAGTTAATACTTCTTTCCAGTCATAGGGAAACTTTTTGCATCGATAATTAGAGTAGGTATATTAAAAATTCAGACACAGTATAAGAATACGTGTCAAGCTCGGATAAGGATAGTCAATGTATTAGACAAAGCTGGTGTTTAGATCATGAAACTCTGTAGAGATGGCAAAAATTGTTATTAGATTGGTTCAACAATTCGATTATTTGTGTCAAAGAACATTATACATCGCTTAGGAGGGTCAATAACTTTACTGCGTTGACATTAATGGGCATACAGCATTAATGTCAATATTTGTTGGAAGAAACCTCTTCTAATTTATGTTTGATATGGTACTATCAGTCCAGTCTTTTGCTAGAACAAATACATATTCAAATATTCTCTAATTATACCAACGTAATTAATATCTGTAGAAGAAACTCCAGTTCTACGATGATGGACCGGTTAAGAGTAATCCATCAAGATGCAGAGGATCATGCATCTTCGAAAATATGAATCTAAAGTTATTTGCCATGACTTTCTTTTATTCTCCTTGAGAATTTCATATTAAGGCGCTAACACTTTATTTAAACCTCTCATTACAAAGTCACTTGGCTTTCAGTCAGAGTCCATTTCACAACACACTTGGACATTTGGATTGATTAATTTCCTCTTAAGTCATATATCCGTTCTTTATCTATTTTTATTATTAAACAATTTCAGTTTAAAATTAAATACCGTGTGGTTTGTTTGTTGCAGCCAATCTACACTATTTACAATTAATCTTAAATAGAAGTTGCTACTAGCACTACCAGCGCGACACAAGGCATAGAAATTTGGCAGTTGCAAAAAGAAAATTCTACATAAGCCCTATTATGGAAAAATTTTTTGAGATTATTTTGGGAAAAATTTGAAACCAGCGTTATTGTCAATCTGCGTGTATAAAACTGACTGATTATCTCAATCAAACCTTTATGAAATTCTGATGATCTGCATATATAATTTGAATTGTTTTAAGCTAATTTTTCTTTTAACCGTATATGACAACGTTGCTATCGTTCCATCATAATTTTAATTTTTGACTCAAAAAAAATGTATGAAACAATAAGCCATTGTAAGTAATTGCAAATTTTAAACTGGTATTATTTGATTTTTTAAATTTTAAACTATTTTAGATTTGATTACAATAAACAATTTTAATTAATGAGCATCGCGCTTTGGCGTAGAATCTGTAAAAGGTCAGTTTGAAAATTTAAATAATGGAATTTTAAACCTGTTATGTTAAAGATTTAAAATTCCATTAAAATCTTCAAACTGACCTTAACCTATATTTAAATTTTTTTTAAATTTTACATTTGCTGTAGATAAATACGTGTGACAATGCCGAAGGGCCTCCCTATACTTCGGCACCACGTGACCGAAGGGTCGACATCGCGTCGGCGAAGATCGCAATGACAATTTGCGTCAGGACTGATACCACTGTGTCTTCACGAAACCGTTTCGTTCGGGCGTGTGAGCGAGCGGATTTGGGATGGAGGGAGAGACAAAGCACTGGAAGGGACTTACACAGAGACACTTTTAACGTAACAACTGTTTAATGGGTAACAAGAGGTCATACATTTCGATTTTAAATATGCTAGTTTGTTATACATTTCTACGATCGGATAGATCTTAGCTCTAGTTGATATTACGTTTTTCCCCGTTTTGTATGAGAGAGAGAGAGTTTACAGAAGTTTCGCGTGGCGATAAATACATTGTTTGCTGTCTTGATGGAGATTCTCGAGCGTTCTTGGTGAAGGAAAGGAAGTTCGGGATGTCGGTTCGGGTATTCGGTAGAGGAAGTATCCGTAAGAATGATAGAACGTACAGTACCGCAAAGGTGTTAGACGATGGTACGATGTTTTCCGATGATATTTTAGTAGAATATAAAAACGTGGAATAAAATGATAGATTCACAGATATCCGAATATTGAAGCACTTAGGACAAGGTACGGGTGACAACTTCTCTTTCGAAAGACGGGCGGCGACTGCGTCACGTTGTTGTTCTGTTCTAATGTTGTACTCGTGAAAGCGAGATATTAGGTCGAAAGGTGATGAGAAAGCGTCGTTATTAGGCCTGAGAACTTAACAAATGTTTAGCTCCCAGGTGTAAAAGTTGACAGTTATTGAACGAAAGTATAACTACAATGTGAAATGATGAAATGATATAAACACACGGAAAGTCCGAATTCGGATCCTCACATACGTATATATTCACGTATGCTAATGAAGGTCTTTGAAACCGAAATGCATACCAGTAATAAAGTTTCATTTTGCTGATAGAAGTGTCATGTCCTCAGTAACTGTGTGATAAGTGTGTGTAATCTCCGCTACACAGTGTTTGAGTTTCATTTACCAACAATCGTTAAGACAAGAAGGCTGAAGAAGCTTTTATATAAATAAAATATGTAACAAATTAATAAAAGGCTTAACAACGTAACAACTTTTAAAAAATTTAACAAAAGGGTAACAAATAGTCAACGTTTACGCTAAGCTTTCAAAGGCTTTTTCCTATCATACCTATCATGGTCCACCGGTGGCAGACTGGATGAAACCAATACATTTGAAGTTAGTCGCAGGTTTATGCCTGATCAACGAGCTAGCCAAGTGGAGTTTCCTGGTTCTTCATGTCTAACACCCAAAATTGGGACTAGTTTTTTATAGAAAGTTCTTCCGAGAAGTACCCCCCTCCTTGGAAGATCGCTTAAGAATTGCATTACTTTAATCGAATCCAATCTGTACCTGTCATGGGCTCAACCAAGCCTACAAATGGAAATAGTCAGTAACAGGGCACGACGTCCGACGTATCCATACCAAACTAATTACCCATGACCAAATCCGGTCAGAAACCTGTGATTTTCGTAGGTGGTTTAT